CGCTGCTCTCCGGAAGCGTTCCAATGTGATGCAACACTTTTATGCACCAGAAACAATTCCACCACTATAAAAAAAGGTAAGCTCATTTATTCCAACACCCAAAATCAATCATCGGCTAGCTGGAATAGATCATGTCTGAAAAGCCATTGCTTATCCTGCTCAGTTCCAATAGCAACCCTACTGTAGGTCTGTCTCTAACTGCACCAGTGAATGGGAGGGTCAAAGAAGAAAGCTTGGAGCATCAGCATCTATTTTCCTGCTGTTGGACCTCCCTTCACTAATCGAAACTTCTTTCAAGATGTCTCAGCTGGCTTTTTGAGATCCTTGCGGAGTTATTGCAGCCCTTCCCAAACGAAATTTTGCATTGTGCCAGATGCAAAAAGATGCCTGATGCTTCCAGAACATCTTTAATTGAATAAAACACATGATTATTAATAATATTTAATTATAGAGGATATCACTAAATTATATTAGCTCTGGAAGAATGCACTGATACAAAACCAGGGCTACCTTTTAGCACTGACACACGACTACTTCACTTTTGTTAATATGATCAATAGGACATTGAGGGATGTGTCTGCACTGGGCTGTTCTCTGGCACACTTGTGCTACGGTGGCTGCTGCTGTAATTCCCATCCATACACAAGGGAGGGACTCAAATTACTTCAGGGGGTGCAGAGGGGCTTGTTCATTAGTCTGGCCTCGCAAAAATCTTGCTCTACTGCAGACATATAACTGGCTACACCTATTGTAATGTAATTCAAAGACTGCATAAATCAATGTTACAACAAGTATCATCCTTTAGATACCCACTAATGGTCTTAGCCCTTCGGAAAAGGCTTTTCCTGCAGCCTCAGGTCACCACGCCTGGTTAGCCCTCCGGTACGGCAGGCAGCACAAGCCTGCAGCCAGGACAGCTGGGTGGCTGCAAGGGCTCCCCAGCACTGCCAAGCTCTTGTAACCTTGGCTGCTGCTCAACAGACGTGCTGGCCTCCACGCTGCTGGCAGAGGAGGCAATGCTCATATACCTGCACCTCTCTGCTGCCTGGCCTCAAAGACTGCTGCTGTCCTCAGCGCAAAGAGGCCCTGCCCCTGCCTCCAGGCACTGCACCGTGACAATGTATTTCCTTAGGGTAAGTTCCCACATGCCCTTTTTAGAAAAGGGGATAGCTGAGTCACAGCATGTTTAGGTGGCTTACCCAAGATCACGCAGCAGCAGCAAAGTGGTAATTCTTATGCAACTGCTGAGGAAAGCAGCATATTTCACTGAATCACACTGCTTCCCAACCATTAATAATGGTTCTTGGATTCAGCACGTTCAGATCTATGAGCTATTCTGTCCCTGACTGATGGCTAACGAAATCAACTGCTTTTATCCTCAAAAACCTGAAGAGAAATAGGGTATACTTCAAGCTTATTTTACGAGCGAGCCCACTGTGGAGCAGAAAGCAAGGTGGTGGGTCCCAGAAAACTTTTAATTGTCAGCTTAAATAGGTAATTTTTTGGAGGCACACACATAATATTTAAAAATAGAAATTCTAAAGGAGCACAGACTGGCAAAAGCACACCACGAAGAAAAGCAGGAGGTCAACCTCGTACAGCTCCATTTGCAACCTCCAGCCCCCACAATCCCCAGAAGCCCTTGGGCTTGCACATGTTGTGGGGTAAGGCTGCAGGGGCTTTTGAAAGCAGTCTGTCAGCAGGCAGGAGGACCCCAAAGCCCAGCACGCTCAGCATCCAGGTTGAGCTATTGCTTCTCCATCACCAGCACCCCATGCTGCAGTTCACTAAGGTGAACAAGGGGAAGGGAACAAAGCCTACTGTTGGTTATAAGGTTTTTATCTTAACATGCTTTTTTTTATTATTATGTTATAGTCTGGAGCATGTCAACAGGAGATAAAGAGGAGAGATGGCTGCGGAATTAAATTATCCAGAGTGCTGAGCAAGCCTATTTCAGTCTACTGTGGTTTAAATTTGCCACCTGACATGATAAGGTAGAAAAGGTTATGTTACTCTTCAGCTCAAAATGCACCTGTCTAGGAAGCCCTAACATCCCTCATTAAAAGGGGTAGTGCGTGACCTAGCACGGAGGTTAATACTAATATGTTCCCCTGGAGCCACGACTGTGGTCCCTCATTACCATTATCCTCTGGATGTTGTTCTAAATGCTGGCACCCTAATTGATAAACAGAATCAGCCGGTTTCAGACCTCAGGGACAAGTGGCTAGAATTTGAGATAGCTATTCTTTGACACAGGAAAGGAGAGCTTTTTTATTAAGTGTCTACAGAACTTTAATCAATCTTCCCATGATGCTGGTAGTTCACAGACAGAGCTCCAGCTCTTGAAGGAAATAGGTTATCTTTTCCCATTGTGAGCTGCTATTTCCAAGGAGCATCAGATGCGAGTCTGAAGTAACCATGCAATCTGAATTTGAAAGGGCCATTAACCAGGAAAAATTAACAGAATACACAGAAATGACTGAGCTCAGATGATCAGTTTTCCAGCTATGACCTTTAATTCTCCATAAAGAGGTGTTCTAAAAAGTCAAATATTCTCCCCAATCTGGTTATTTAAACAGAATGGTGAGTGATGCTGCGTGTGTGGAAGGAATCCAAAACAGTTTGGGTGGAAGAGAAAAATATGCACATAATAAGCCTTATTTGAAGAAGAAAACTCAGTATTTAAGCACATTACACTACTCTGTGATTCTTATACTGTGAGACTAGTGTAAATATGCAAGAACACTAAACATACATATAAATAGAGATAAACTGTGAATGAAATCTATTGTTCTCAAAAATCTATCAGAATACTCGAATACATATACTCAACAAACATATATGTATATATATATGTGCAATTTTAGGGAGAGACTAAGCATTTAGGGAGAGAATAAGCATAGGGAGAGAATGTAAGCATTCAAGCATGGTTGTAAAGAACTTGTAAGCCATATTAAATGACTTACAGGAGACTCAAACATCAAAAATGCAACTCAAATACAAGCTGTATGTTAGAGATGCATAGAGTTCAAACTCGTTATCTCATTTCAGACTGCCTTGACTAGGTACAGGGATGCTCACTGACCGCTTTCAATACAAGCTTTGCTCCCTGACGCTAAACATTTGCCTGAATCATGGCCAGAGTGAACAGATGAGTTGAACTTCATGCCCCAAATAGCAATGAACCAGTACTTAAATTCATAGGCAAATAAAATTCATCCTTACAGGAAGTGTTCTTCCCCTACACTACCTAAATTTTATTAAATGCACAGAGATTTGTTACCCATGTGAGGGTACAGTACTCATTCTCTGAAAGCCATCACGTGCCTGCTGAGGAGGAAAAGGACATAACCTTCTGAGCTTTCTGAAAGAGGACACTAATGTCAACCAAGTTGGCAGACATAGGCTTAAGTCCAAAGCTTTTGAAAGCAGGAGTTTATGAGTCCCTAGTCCAACATGCATTTATTTAAACATTGCATTGGCATAGCACCTAATGATCCAAGTCATGGGCCATCACCCTCTTGCACTTGGCAATGTATAAGCACGCACAGAACAAAAGCACATTCCCCAGATAGTTTACAATTCAATTACAAACAGAGATCCAATAGAGGGATGCAGCGTGGAAAGCACAAGCAATGAGATTGGTTGATGTAATGCAGTAGCTTGAAAAATGCTGATGTGATGTAGTTCTCCTTCCATATTTCTACCTTCCAAGTGTCATTAAAAATAGCCAGAATCTCTTTTTTTTTTTTTTTTTGCCTTACAGCACTTTCCCAGGTGACTCTATGCCACAGGGATGCCACACAATTACAAATGGGAAAACTACTAAGGATGAGAGGGGAAATGAGTTAGGAAGCTGTGAGACAGTCTAGAAATATTTACAAAGTCTTACAAAAAAAAGGGGCTGTTGGAAATGACCCTTCTTGGGCAATAGGATTTTTTGTGGGGACAAACAGCACGTGTGACATAACAACTGGCAAGCTTTCCATATGAAACCAATTTTCAAAGAGCTTATGAATGTCTCTCTCCTGAATTTCTTCCTCGATTTTTGTTTAAACTATCCCTAGTCCTACATATGGAGACAGAACAAGCTTAATCGGGGCAAATATAAGCCTTTTATCAATTCAATTATCCATTTAAGGACTCACTCATTGAACTTAGCCATAAAATGTTAGAGTTGCAGTGCTGCTCCTGTCTATCAGCTTGCATGCATGTATTCTTTGTACCCTTAGGGACATTTTATCTTTTGAGAAATGTGACAGCCTGCCTTCTGAGACTGGCCTCAGCGGAGTCCATAGCCAATATATTGACAGATAGAAGATAGCATGGAAAAGTGAAGCAGTTCACAGCTTACTTGGGTGTGTCAAGCTGCTTTTGTCACCAGCCAAAGGATCTTTGATCTTTTAAAGCTATGATGGGATCTTTCAAATCATTAACTTTTAATTGCTTCTGTTAATTGCATCTGATCCCCCCTTCAGACCCCGGTGATCTGTGGATCTACAGCAGGATCACATCATACCCCCTTTCCCAATATTTTTACTTTTTGGAAAACATAATTAATGTATCTCCAAACACACTCTTTGGAGTGTTTCTTCATGGTCAGAAGAGCAGGCTCAAAACCAGAAAAATAATTTACTGATACGCACACTATTTCTGGTGTTTTCTGCTGAAATGTAAGGTGATTATTTCTACATGCAAGCTCAATCCTGCAGTTTTTCTTCCCTACATTTTGAAGAGGGATGAGGACAGACAGCTGTTTCAAAGTAAATTAAAAAAAAAAAAGTCATGGCACCTCAAAGAATATGCATGTTTGTAAAAATTACAGTCACAATGATACAGGATTAGCTGTGGAATATTACAGGGATCTTCATGATCCCTGTCAGCCACCACTTCAGATTTTGCATGCCACAGATAGGCAGCTATGTTGATTTCAGTGCTTCATTTTGGCAATACTACTATAGACACTGGCCAACACTGTTTTCCTCCCTGTTTTGCCTCACCTGAATATTACTGTTTCAGTGCTTCATCATCCCAGCTACATGAGGGTTCGGGTTCCTGCTGAGAAGTGTTTTCTTTTAAAATTACAATTTCTGCAAAGGTAATGGAAAACAAATGAGTTACTTTTTGCATTGCCAACATTCTTTTTACACTGTAGTATGCTTTTCAAGATCAAACTGTCAAAGTACCAAATGACACAACATTCAAAGTTGATTTTCTTGAATTTTAGTTTACAGGAACAGCCTCTCTTGAGGATACGTATGCCCATATACTTTAATTTCCTGTCTTTAGCTGAAGTGACCAGTCAAATGCTAGCACAAGATACTCATTGGGGCTTGAGATTTCTTGCCATTTTACAGCCTTTTCAGCAGATACTCTTGTATACAAGGTTTAAGACCAGTGCAGCTTTAGACTTCCAGGATAAAATCTCCCAGGTAAGGGCTAGAAGCGTATTTAAGAGGGGACTTATGAAAAGGACGTTTAAAATCAGCCTTTAAAATCACTGGCAAATATTTCCTAGACAAAATATTAAATTTGTTGGTTTAATGTAGAACTGAAAGCCTAGGTTTTGGTACTGGGGTGCTGTCCTTTCTCAGCGAAATAATCGTGTGCCCAGCTAATGGCACACTATATGGCTGTCAATATCACTTTCAAGTTATTAGGTCCAATCAATGTTGAATAAAAGGAAAAAAAGGTGGTCAACAGGCAATCTAGCTTTCAGTTTAACACTCCCTTGAGGATTTTCATTATCCTTTCCTTTTCTGCTCTCAAGGTTAGCTCTAGCTAGCCTATTTCTAGCTTCAACTTCCTGGAGATAATGCACATCCACAATAGCCTTGCTCCTCCAACGTCAGTGTGCCCTTCCACCTGAGTAAGCAGAGTCCCTTCTCTCTTCTATTATTTGTGACCTTTTCCTGGGTTAAAAGGTCGCTCCTGAAGCAGGCGGGTTTCACTCCTTATGGTGATTGCAGCGCGGAAAGCAGGCTTCTACCTTGTTAGAAGTGACATCACTGTACATTAAAGACATCATATCTCCTTTCATATTAAAATGCCTGTCAGTTCTGCTGCTCACAGGCTGTAAATCTGCCACAGTATCCTGGGCTTGGGAGTTTTCATTATGAAAATATGAAGATAAGCACTCTGCTTCACTGTCAGAGGGAAAGTAGTCTGGTAGTAATGAGGTTACTTGAAAAATAAATATACAATTTCTGAAACACGGATTATTTAATGTGGAACAATTTTCAAAAGGAATCCTTTCTATTTCAATTCCTTTAAAAAGTCAAGCTTAAAACCCAGTGTGAGAACAGGGTGAATATACAGTCCTGTAGAATTTATTAATACATAGACTGTGCACTTACTCATGCAGTAAATCATTAGATTTTCCCTTTGACTTTGGCCCTCTAGCCTTGAGTGAAATGACATACCAGACTCTAACCTGTTTTTCATCTTTATATCATACAACTACTGAAAGACTTGTATGTTCTGCAGGAAAGTGACAATGTTCAGTTGTTATATATACGACTTTAGAAAACGCATAGCAGAGAAATACCTCACAAGCAGCAAAGAAAAATATAAATAATTACCGATCAGTGCCAATTACTAATTACTAAATTACTCTCAAGGCAAGATTAGGATGTTAATACCTCACTATTAGGTAACGATTTGCATCCATCAATCTGAAAACTCTAGATATTTAATTTGTGTTTTGCAGAAGGGAAACTGAGTCACAGAGAGGTAAATTGACCCACCTTAACATTTGAGAGTAGCTCAGCATCTAAAGTGAGAGCAGATCCCACAGACTAGCCTGACTCGGTGTGCTTATTTCAAGCTGGAAGTTTGTTGGTGCATCCCCAAATTGTTCACACAGAGCCTGTAATGATGATGATTATTATTAGTTAATGGATAAAATTATCACAGATGTTTCCTTATTATAAAAAAAAACCTTCCTCCATCTTCTTAGAGAGTACCAATTCACTGCTATTGCCCATTTCCTTCTTCCTTAAATATTTGGAATTCCCTTCAATTGAGAAAACTTTAGCGTGGGAGCATAGCATATGTATTTTCAATCTCATCTTCCAGATCACATACTCCATTGTTGATACTCTGTTTGGGGAGCTGAAATGAATGGCTCAAGAGTTATTTATGGATGATGAAACTTTTCACCTCCAAGGCATTGATTTTAATGTCTGAACCCTACATCCAGAGACGGAAATAAATATATTTAGACTGTGCTGTGTGCATTACGTGAAATCAATTGGTAGTGTCAGTTCCAAGTAGGCAGGAGTTCAGGTGAAAAACATGTAAAAATAGATAGATGATGATTTGCATGAGGAAGGTGAATGTGTGGCATAGGAAGAATTCAGTAGCCAAGGAGATGACGTGCTCAGGCCGTGGTCTGAAGAGACCAGACCAGAGCATCCCACACATGTTGTGGAGGAAACCAGAGCATATGTCAGCTCAGCAGAGCTGGAAGTGAAACGAAGCAAGAAACCTAAGAAAGGCAGTGCATGGTAAAAACATGGCTTGCTTCTTCACTTCCCAGGAGATTTTCTTCCTCTTCTTTCTAGAATGAAGTCCTCTGTTCATGTAGACCAGAGCAAAGTAACGAGAGCTGCAGCTCCTTGGTGAACCAAGTCATAAGGATTTATAACCCGTTTGAGAGCAATATTGCCAACACCTTCCTGGCCACAAAAGCCCGCAAGGACTACTGATCAGGCTTTTGAATCATCTCTCTTCTCCTCAGAAGAACCCTTCAAACCTTTTCAGCTGCACGGTCACAGGTCACGTCTATGCTGAGTGGTTTCTCAGCGTTCACCATCGTTTCCAGCATCCACACAGGCCCATGGCAGCAGTAAGGGTGCAATTTTTAATGACGGGTCTGGATACCTGCAGACACTTCACGTTGCTGCCGTCTACGTTTTCTAAGTAGCATAGGGTGAGTGGCAAAGCACGGGTGTTGTCTTTGCCCTAAATCCCCCACAGTTCCTAGGGCTAATAGAGCTGCACTGATAGCACAGCTTTCAGTGAAAACTGAAAGCCAAAAAATGGCCCACGAGCCAGCGTGTCGAGTTCCCTGCATCATCCCCCTCTCCTAGAGGTAATCATCAAAACTGTTATCGCAGATTCGAAGGACTTAGGTCACAGTGTTCAATACCATTTTTATATAATTTTCCCAGCAATATCTTTTCCTCATCGAAATAGTCAAGAGTAAAATATATAGGAATATTTTCTTGCATGTGCACGAACACCAGGGAATCAGACCTGAACACGGTGTTCGAGGTTAACGGCAGACCCTGGGGACTGGGTCACAGGCAGTCGCACCACATTGACAGCTCTATATTTATAGCTAGCATCCTTATTTTCACTAGGATATGCACAAAAGGATAATAAAGTTAAAAAGACAGGAGTTGCATAATGTACTCAGTGCAAAATTAGCTTTTGACTTAATATGAAAATTTATGCCTTTGTTTTATTCTGAACAAAACTATTTATCTTGCATACAGAGTTTCTAGTCCGCCCACCTGATTTTACCTTTTATATATATATATATATATATATATATATATAAAGCTACAAAATCATCCTATTCAATTTTGCTTCCTTATCCTCAGGAATAGCGATTTGGTAGTCAATGGTCGGGAGTTAAGGGTACTGGAAAATACCAGCCCACAAATGCCCTAGGAGTGACCCAACATTGACATTAAATCACATTTTATTTCTAAAGAAATTGTGCTCTCCAGCTCTGCAGCTAATAAAGGTACAGAAAGAACAGAGTGATTACACCATAGTCTCCATTATTTTAAATACTGAATTGTTTAGTTTCCTGGATTAACAGCGGACTATGTAATTATTTTTAAAGTTACTGAAACTAGGAATACTTGATTTTTTCTATAAATATCTTTCCTATTTTTCCTCCACTTCAGAAATAACATACACTAATAAAAATAGCTTCTTCCATCTAATCAAGTTTCTGTTAATTAAGTGAATGTGGGAACTGAGCCACCGAGGATGCAAGTGATTCACCCAAGGTCACCCTGGAAGCCTCTGGCAGAGGCATATGGGAACCCAGGCAGTCTGACCAACACAACACCATCAGTTTTTTGCCTCTTTCCAGTATCCTCACGAGAGTAACACGTACCAGCCCTGAACACTGACTCTGCAGCCTCCACTCCTGGCTTCCAGTCTGGCTAATATCCAGAAAGGCACTCCTCACACTGACAAACTGAATCACTGCATGCTTATTTTTGTTAACACTTGAGCAATATTTTTATTTGCAGTTCAGTAACGTCTAAGGAGCTTCTTCATACTGTACAAACATCAGAAACAAAAGGCTTACAACCCCAGAGCTTAAAGCCTTGATCTTTTGTTTGCATCACCATTTTCCAGTATTTTTTCTTGATATATTCCAGGGCAAATGCTTCAAATTTCTCAGGTATCTATACTTTTATATATAATATACACACACACACACACATATATATTTAGTACTGTGGTCTGCATCAGTAAAAGTTAGTTTGCTACTATCACAACTGTTCCTTTAACTGTGCTAGCTGTCCCATCTAGTGAAGTAGCACTGCTGGGCTCAGGCTTAATGTTTTACATTTTCTGGAAGACTGCAATGTGTTGATGGAAAGCAAACAAACAAAACAAAAACCCAAAAACAAAAGTTACTTTAGGCTCAATCAACAATAAAAATAAAAATAATAATAATAAAAAAAAGGCTCTATGGCTCTTTCCAAGGAGAGATCAACACATTTTTTTTCCCATATACGAAATACCTGTGAAGGCTCACAGGTAAATGGAAAAAATGCATTGAGAGGCCAGAAGAAGTCAGGGGGTGGCAGCTCCCATCAGTTCCCCAAAAGAGAATTATTCTTCCCACAAGTCTACTCCTGTACTAGAGCTTCAGCTGAATCCTTAGGTGGAAAGGGTCAGAGGGACAGAAAGGTGGCTGAACGCTTCCCAATCCTCCTTTTTGAAACAAGGTGTGGGCTGTTTTCACCACACAATGAGTTAGAGCAGCCCTGTGTTTACCTCATATCCTCAGGTGGCCATCAGAAGCACTGCTGGGGAGCTGGGCACTAACCTTGCAGATGCTTTACACCAGCGGGTCAGTTACAAGGAACCATTCGAGCTCATCTCTGGGCTTAACCTTGACACCAGGATTTTAACCTGAAGTACTGAATTAGCATCAAACTGGCTATGGAAAAATTTACATTGAAATGTCATCTGGCATTGATATTCTGTACTGAAGAAAATAAAGAACTTGTGTTTCTCTGATGTAAGTATTTTAGAAAGTTTAAACATAAAAGGCTGGGTCCAATTTGATTGTAATTTGGATATAATCTAGCTAAGTGTTTCAAAAAATTAAAAAAAAAAAAAAAAAAATTGAGCCTTTACTTAATGTAACAGAAAGCACAGTTTTCACGTGATCTATTAAACTATACTTGAACCAAACAGAAAGCTTCAGACAAAAACATGTTACAAAAGGTAATCATGTCACTTAATCCGTATCGGATGACATGAACATCCCAGGTTGGGGAACGCAAAGCAAGAACCTGAAGACAACAGAATTTTTTTATGCCCTTTGTCTGAAATCTGTAGGACAGAACCTATATATATATATATATAGGTTCTGTGATATATATATATATATATATATATATAAAAAATAATTATATATATATAATTAAGGTCCAATTTAAAAATGCATTAACTTTTTAATTGAGAACATGGCTGGGAATCAGCAGTTCTGATGATCTTAGCATAGCATTGGATATAATGTTGGATAACTAAGCCTTCAATTTAAGGGAAAAAACCTTTAATCTTTCACTGCATAGGAGCAGATTGAGTGTCATTCAAATGCCAAACGGCTTGAATTCTCCCATCAAAATGCATGCAAAGAGAATTTCAAACCTCTTAAGGCTCACAAGAAAGCTTATCCCTTGGGTGAACCAAGGAGAGCACTGCCAGGAACTCTGAGGGAGTTACATGAACTCTGAAAGCTTCTAGAGACCTTCCCTTTCTTTTCTACAGACCTGAAAGTCCTGGAGGAAGAGAGAAAGCCTTGGGCTGGGTTCTCATGTTGTTATCCTCGGCTCCCTGAAGACCTGCCACTTGGATTGAAAAAGCCTTTTTGTCGTGATGCTGAGCAGCACAAGGCACCAATGTGCTCAGTTCTTCCTCAGGGATCCTCTGGGATTGCTTCAGAGAAAACATCTGAGGTGCTTCCTTGACGCAAACATCGTGGAATGGACTTGAACCTGAGCCCCCTCAAGACTGTTGGCTCAGGCCAGTGGGCAAAGTGATTTTTCAGCAGCCAAGATCTGCTGCTGAGACTTTGGCTTCCAAAAACAAGCTGTGACAACTATCAGCCTAATGGTTACCCTTTTGGTACCGGCTCACTGAGATGGATTGGTTTTGAAACTTTCAAGATTTTTTTTAGAGGTGCCCAGAGCGCACAGGGGTAATTACCAAAACCTCCACTGACTTCAGCAGGAGCAGAATATCACCTTCCATCTCTCAAACTCTGGAAATGTGCTACAGCATTTACTTAAGGGCCCTCAGGAAACCCTGCGACTTCAGTGTTATTCTTAAATTGCAGGGTTCTCCACCTTGACGTTATTTCATGGAGGCTGATGCCTTCTGCCCCACACTCTCGGAGGCTCTTAAAAAGAAGTTTCCCTGGATTTGGTTCTCAGCCGCATATTTCCTTGCATATTTTTCTTTTTTTTTTTTTTAATCTAAGTAGGTTCCAAAGTTGATTGTTAAAGTCTTGGGGTATGCCATGACTTTGGCCCAAATAGGTTTGTCCTCTGTGACAGAACTGTCAGGTGAAGATTGTTTCATACATCTTTTTTCATCCACTGA